CCCGCCCCCGGGTCCTCGGGGCCGGTTACCTTTCTCCTCTCTCCACACCTTTTTCTTCTTGTTGCTGGGGTACATGCTGCCGTGGGGGTGGCTGGCTTTAAGCTGCAAGTTCCCCAGGCTCACGGGCAAACAGGGTGTGTGGAGTGGGGGGGAAGGGGGGATGGAGGGGGGGAAAAAACACTCGGGTGGGAAAAGTGCAAAGGCTCTGCGTCCCGCGCCGCTCGCCGCTCGCCCGTCGCCGCCCTCCTCCCTCAGCCCGCCCGCTCTGCCCCGCGGCCGCCGCCACAGCAGCACCTCAGAGCCTGTCAACTAGGTCACGCCTCGCGCTAACCTAACACCCGCGCAGGCCCCGCCTCCCGGCCGCTAGGCAGCGCCGCCGCCCATTGGCTGCTCCGCCCGCCGCTCTCCGCGTTCTAGCCAAGGCGCGCCCCGGCTTCAGCCTCAGGGCGCAGGCGCAGGCGCAGGCTTGGGCTCGACGCCGGGGACGTTGGGGAGCTGGAAGGGGGCGGGGCCAGAGCCCGAGCCGGAGGCCGCTCCGCGGCCGGGGGGCGGGGCGTGCAGCAGCTGCCTGCGGGGAGCGGGAGGAGCAGGGACTGAGGGCGTGGCCCGTTGGCAGGTGCGCCAGGTGACCCGGAGCCAGCTGCGAGAGTGAGACAGCTGTGTGGGGGACTGCAGGATGAAGTGGTCGTGGGTCCTAGGAGATGTCCGAGCTCACTGTCACCGCCTCGTCTGGAAAGGTTTTACCTGATAATCGGACGCTTTCCTCTTGGTGGGGAAATAGAACCAAAAGAAATGGTTTCAGACCCTGAGCAATCCGCTGTTCAGTCTTGGGTTAGAGATTTCCTTGGAATTCTGTGAAGTTCAGAAAGCTTCAGAGTACACCGGGCCAACTCAAGAGTTTTAAGAACTGGCAAGCAAAAGGTATTGGGACCAAGTCCTACATCAAAGCAAATTCCAAAGAGGATTACCCAGTGCCTGGTTGTCTTTTATTCTTGGTTGACTTCAAAATGGCTTCTGATCCAAAGGTCTAGCTTGACCCTAGGTAGTTCTGTCATGATTCAGAAAATTCAATTGCAGGAAACTCTACTACAAGAGTACAGTGACCTAGAACCTATGTTCTATAACTTTTGCGTCCTCTTCTACCCCAAATGTATTGTCTCTCTCCACAAAGCTGGCTTAGTGAGTGGATTTGGAAAAGTCACATTTATTCAATTGGGGGTTTATGTTACATGTGTTGGCAAATAACCATATAAAGCACGATTTTTTTTTTATATTGGGTCTCTTTGTAGCTTAGGCTTGTGTAACAGGCTTTCTTTTAAGCCAACAACCAGCTCCAAAATCAAGACATGGAGACTTGTTATTAGTTGTGAAGGCTTGGACTTATCTTAGTTATTATTTTAATGTTTCTCTTTACCTACATTTTGCCTCGGGGGGGGGGGTACCTTTCTTACTTTCTGTATGTCTTACTTTTAAAACTGCTTCTCCTGGCTAGCAGCTTCCTGGCTTCTGGCTCTGGGTATGTCCCTCTCTTTCTCCCTCATTCTCTTCTTTTCTCTCCTAGATTTCTCCTCCTACTTATTCTCTCTGCCCACCAGCCCCACCTATCCCTCTTCTGCCTAGCTATTGGTCTTTTAGCTTTTTATTAAACCAATCAGGTGCCTTAGACAGGCAAGAGGAACCAAATGCAACACATCTTTACATAATTAAACAAATGTAGCACAAACAAATGTATCACATCTTTACATCCTTAACAAATGCAACAGAAACAAATGTAGCACACCTTCACATAGTTAACCTAATATTCTGCAGCAGAAACAAATGTAACACCTCTTTGTCTGTAGCTGGAGATTTCTCCAGTTCTGTTAGGGCCACAGCCACTCAGATCCAAGTAAACACACAGAGACTTATATTACTTATAAACTGTATGGCCATGGCAGGCTTCTTGCTATCTATTTCTTATTAACCCGTTTCTATTAATCTATAAGTTGCCACGTGGCTTGTGGCTTACCACTACTTTACATCTTACTTCTCATGGTGCTGGTGGCTGGCAGCATCTCTTGACAGCCTTCCATTCCCCGCCTTCTCCTCTCTGCTTATCCCGCCTATACTATACTTCCTACCTGGCTACTGGCCAATCAGCATTTTATTTATCAATCAATCAGACCAACACATTCACAGCATCCAGAAAGACATCCCCAGCATTTGCCTAGTTAAAATTAATATTCCACAACAGGCTTGCCCCAATCCCAGTATTTTTTTGCCTCAACCTTAAATAGCCCTCCACCAAAGAGGACTAGAATGCATTAAAAATAATAATGATGACAAAGAAAGGGAAAGAGAGGCTACACTTAGAATTGTACAGAATAAAATGTTTTGAGTAATGAGAGTTAAAAATTCATTCACAACATCTTAAAATAATATTTATTTTGATATTTTCTTTGGAATTTTTCTTTAAATGCTATTAAATCAATAAAAATTATTCCGTTGGGAGAAATAGAAAAGTGGCAAGAAGGAAGTAACATTCGGAATAATATTGACAATGAAATTAGAAGGGCTTTGATTCAAGTCAAATCAAGAGAAAATTGTCAACGGGATAAACTTTGGGAGAAAGGGAAGGAGGAAGAAAAGATGATGACATTCTCATGGATGGTCAAAGCAATGTTCACATGAACCAAGAGATGTGGTTTGAACATGGAAAATATTAAAGCTTTCTTCCCAAATGTGGCATTACTCCAAGGTGGTGAAATTGGGCATGCTGTGAAAGGGACTATGAGACTCCTGTTTCTTGCCAGGTGGTGGTGGCAGCCCACACCTTTAATCCCAGCACTTGAGATGCAGAGCCAGGTGGATCTCTGTGAGTTCAAGGCCAGCCTGGGCTACAGAATGAGTTCCAGAAGAGGTGCCAAAACTACACAGAGAAACCCTGTCTCGAAAAACAAAAAAAAAAAAAGAAAAAAGAAAGAAAAGAAAAGAGAGACTCCTTTTTTTTCTCTCTCTCTCTGCTTTCTAGCCTAAGATGTAAATAGGTTGCTTCATCAAACACCCCATACATGATATGGCATTGTCACCAGAGACTCAAACCAATGAGGCCACTCAGTAGTGGATTTGAACCTCCAGAACCAAAAGGCAAAAAGGGGTACCTTTACTTCCTAAGTAGCCTGTCTTGGATATTTCATTATGTCATCTCAGGTTAGTTCAACAATTAAATACCATATTTTGTTTGGGGAAATTGACTTATTCTAAAATGCTGTTAAGTGTCTGCCAGAAAGTGCCTCATATTAAGTAACTTTCCTTCAAGACAGAGGCTGCACTCCAGCCCAGGACCAACCCTTCCAACCTATACTTTTTTATAAATGTTGCACTATTGACTGTTTTCTCATATGAGTTCAAAGAACTGGGACTTTTATAGTGTTAAGACACTGCTATTTAGGCAGTATTTGTTTAAGTGTTTATGTTTAATAATTATAAAAATACCATCATTCAAAAGGGTTAAATAATCTCTCAAACATTCCTGAAATGTTCCAGATATCAAAGGAGCTTATGATCCTTCCCCCGTGTTTAATCTCCTTTGAGTTTTCCTGGTCTAAAGAGCTTTATCACTCATTCAGTTAAGCAATGTGAAAACCTAAGCCCCATACCAGGTGCTTCTTATATTGTCATGTTTGTATCAAATGAAGAGCTCTATCTACTCAACTTTACCTCTTGGATTAGTGTAGAAATCTCTATTTTCCAACAGAAATGCTGTCTGGATTTAGCTAACCACTGAAAACACTTCCTCACTAGCCTCCATGTTCACATCTGCCCTTTTGCCAATTCTGTACACCTACCTCATCTCGGATTATCTTGTCAAATATGATCATATTATCTCATTGGTGTAAATTAAGTAACTTCCGTTGGCCTTTGCTAAGGACTCAATTGTGTCCCACCCATCTCAGCGTTTATGTTTTAGAGTCTTTCCGTGCAATGTGGTTGTATCTGGAAATAATATGGTTTAGGACATCACTTTTAATAGGAGGGACATCTTGGCTTTCCTCCCTCCCCTATTCTTTCTCCACCATATAAAAAACAAAGAAAGTTGGTATCTTCAAGTCAAGAAGAGGACCAACAACAGAACCCTAGCATGCTGGAGCACTAATCTCAGACTCTCAGCCTCCACAAGAGTGAGAAATTTAACTTCCTGTTACTTAAGCCCTATTCTATGGGATTTTATTTTGGCTGCCCTAAGTTAACTAGTACAGTCATCAAGATTGGAGTAACCGTCTCCCGCCAATCCAGGCTTATGCCATTCTCTGTCCCTCACTCCTACCCCCAATCTGTGGCTCTAGCTATACCAGCATTTATAACTTTTCATTTGCTTGAACATACCTTGTCCTCACCACATGACCTTTTTCCATATTGACACTGTGTCTGAACCATGATTTGTGTAATGACTTATTCTCTTTTAGATACCACTTTAGCATCATTTTTGTGGGTCTGGCATTGATGGTATATACCTGCAGTCCCCGCACACAGGAGACTGAGACAAAAAGACTAAGTTTTATAGCATCCTGGGCTACCTACTGAGACTTCTACAAACAAGAAAACAACAACAAAAACCATCCAAACAATATCATTCTTCATCAAACCTTCCTTGATTCCCACTTGACCTCTACTCTTAGTTTCTCTGTCTCTGCCTTAAGTGATCCTTTATTTTCATATAAAGCACTTTGATAGTTTATCAGTTTTTCAATTGTGATTACAGAAAGGAGACAGGTCCAGCTAGTCAGTCAGTGAATAATAACATTTTCCAACAATGAACCACGTATATGATGGTATTGCCATAAAATTATAGTGGGTCTGTAGAGTTCTAATTGTCTAGTGACATCAGAGTCATTGTAACCTCATAACACAATGCATTACTCATCTGACTCTAGTGATGCTGTTGTAAACATATTGTTGTATAAAAGGATAGCACATACAATTGCGTATAGTGTATTGCATATATATATACAGAATACTAAGTGACTGTTACAGGTTAATGTATTAACTTTTCTCTATTTTTTTAACATTTTTAGAGTCTATTTCTCTACTTATAAAAAATGAAGTTTACTGTCAAAAGTATACCATGTCATGCTTACAGCAGCTGCATACATTTTATGTTTACACTGTCTGCTGACTGCATCAGGAGGTGAGGGTGAGTAATTGGTCCATCCTATTTATGGTTGTGAAGTAAATTCTATAATATTTGTATAGTGACAAATTTCTCATAATGTATCTCAATCATTAAGGAGCACATAACTACACAAAAAAGAAAGTGACCACTGAACAGAGACTGAATGTAAATACAAG